GGTTTGCGACACGACTTTGCTATGCAGCCACTTTCAGAAAGGTGAATTTAAAGGTTCAAAAAATCAAGCCATTTCTCCCCAAGTTTTCCCGTGTAAAATCAATCTGCTCAGACTGTCTGTTCAAAAGATCAAGACATATGTCCTCCTCTTCCTGTGTCGAGCAGATGATGAGGCAGTGATCTATGTTTCGACCGTAGAGTAATAAGCCACGACTGAGATCTGGAGCTTGCACTTTGGACATAAGAGCAATGGCATGGCTTTGTGCTAGTCGTTACCTCACTATCAGCCCTCTAATTTGTGCAGAATATTTTCCCGACGGGAATCTCAATGACCTCAGAAATCTATCGACGCTCGAGGACAATCGAAACTTCAAAGTTTGTTTGTACCTCAACGCTCTTTATATTGGCTCAAATACTACCTTACCTTAGATATGCATTGAAGTGGAGAAGGAATCTGAAATCATGTTAAATGGAGAAAAGTTACTATTGGTCCTTCCCTACGATGGGCCGTCTCAAACGGCAATCGCATTCATCAAATTTGATATCTTAATTAAATTTCATGGTTGCTTTATGTCCTATATCCATGGGATTGAGCTTCACTGATGCGCTTGCATGTTTCTTGCTCAAGTTACAACGACTGTATAGATGCGAAATGTCGAGCGATTGATGGAGATGCATTCGACTCAGATATGACCGATGAATTTAAGCATCTACTTGAGGGAATGAGATTATTGAGTAGCTCGACTGCTCACTGACTCAGTGGTGCTGCGTTTTTGCTCGTGAATGAGGTTGAATGGTTGGTTCTTTTTGCGAATTCGTTGTTGCTGTTCTTGGCAAAACCTTCAATCTTTTTGATGAAGCACCCAAAAGACGGAACTTCTCGATATGAGTCGCTCTTCTTACTAAACCCTTGGATTGGGTATATGATGCTGCGTGTCCGACTAATGAAGATTGATTTCATCGTTTGATGCTCACGTGATTATCTCTCGGCTAGAATTGGTTGAAAACACTATTGTATTCCACGTACGATGAGCTTATTTTTCCATAATGGTGGCTCTTATGCACCAGATTACTATTCTGACAGAGGAACTTTCATGTCCTTTGCAGAGTGTGCCTTTTTTCCTCAAAACGCCTTCTCCATTTTCACGAACTTGAAGGTATAGCTGCTTCTCGAGTAAATTCACTGCTCATCCATTTTTGTTTCGACGTCCTACAAAAGCTCGCTTACCACTTTAATGGAGTGTGTACGACTCGTAAGTTCAAACTTTAAACTTCAATTGCAATCGATTCACTTCGCCACTATACAGTAATTTTACAGTGCGGTGTGAGCGCTGTCTTTGTCTCTGCGTAACCATCAAAGTTTAACAAACCTTATTCCTGAGTCGAATACACGGCTCAATATAGAAGCTGTGTAATTAGGACTGCAAGAAATGACCGAGACTCACAAAATTCAGCTTTGTACGAGCAGGCCTCTATTTTGCGGCTTGCACCAACAGAGGTGTGCTCAGATACAAATGATTCAAACATAACGAAATTATACTCGCACTTGCCCTCATGTCCCAAGTAGACCACTACCACGTGCAGCGAGGGTGACAAAAAGAAGAGAACAGAAAAAGTAATGAGTCCGTATCACTTGCATAGGCCAGAAGTCTAGCACTAAGTTGCTAACTGACATCTCACCAGCTAGGACTTGTCAATCCCGAAAATTTCTCGATTTCCAGATTCACCCTTCACATCCCTCTTGAGGATTCTTCATAGACACAGTACCTACAGCCGGTGATATCGAGTTTATTTCTGATGATCGTCGTTCATTAACCCCAAAGGGGACGGCTATAGAAGTCGATGCGCTTAAAGTGAATTGCGCCATTGGTTGAGGTTTTCTTCTTCATTTGGTAAAAATATTTGGATTTCTTGCATTACTTTGATAGAGTAAGGTATTCTCTACTCACTCTCATGCTGAATTTAGCATTCAGTCAATTATATTGCATTGTACGAAGGGGATCACAATGAAAATCTTGAGTTGTGCTCATCCCTACTAGTTTTATACAAGACTCAAGAGTCATCATAGTAAATCAGAACTGAAGAACAGCTAGTAATTTATCAAAAATTGCTATCCCTGCTGTATTCGATAAGTATTCTTCGAAAACTCTCACTATAATTGAGTTTGTATCAATCATTCGTTTACTCCCAATTATTCAGAGATGAGGAAAATAAGAAAAGGTTGGGTACTCATGAATAGTGAAAGAATTCTGAGCGGTAAAAGCCAACCCTGTTCAATTAAATTGTCTAGAACACCGGTATTGTGTAACTATTCGGTCAGAAATAGGTGCCTTCAAAGAAGTATTCTCGGTGCTTGTCCCCTATTCGCACTCATATTCAAAAAAGAGCATTTTTTATTCCTGTTCGAAGCTTCAGTAATCATTCGACAGCTTGAATATCGAGAATTTGAACGGTGCGTTTTAGTTTTTAAATTGTTTCTGTTTTACGCTGTAAGGGTGAGGTAAAATTTCCGGTACTTATATGCTAGACGGTGACAATTTTTTGAGTTGATCTCATTCGCTGGTCAGGTTGTTTTCACAAAAATGTTAGTAAATATCAGAAACCTCATGTCTCGGGCTAACCGTATGCTTTGCTGGTCTTGAAAATCACACTTTTATGCCACAGTAGCAACCAGAATAAAATTTCATTTCTCATTCGACTTTCGCCTTTATTTTTACCATGCATATAAATCGCTGGAAGCACGAAAAGCATATTAATGTGTAGGCAATTTTCCATAGCGTCAGAGTCTGCGTTTTCATCTAAAGTTTCTGTCGATGGGGTAAAAAAATCGTAATTTGAATAACAGTATTTCAAACGCGGCCGGTCGTTCCGTCCCTGCCCCGTTCACCCGCTCCGTCAGTTGGCCGTTAAGCGTCGCCAAAAAGATTCATACCTGAGTAAAATGTGAGGCAAATCACAATAACGACTTTCTAGTGAGACAATCATCCGATCTACTGTGTAACTTGGCGATGATCTACCGTATTATGAGTTAAAACGGCAGCAACTATTATTGCTTAATGGAGGATTTTTCACCGTATCGACACAAACTTTAGATAAAATCGCGTCATTTTGGCCCAGCGGAAAATTCTGTAAACGCTCACATGCTCTACGTGCTTCTAGCAATTTATACTCGTGGTAAAAATAAAGGCGAAATGCGAGTGAAAATGAATTTTTTCGCTGGATGCTACAGCGTGTTAAAAGGGTGTTTTGAAAAAGCGGCGACATATAATTAAAGGCAAAAATTAAAGCTTTGAAACGATTAATAACACCTATAAGATTACTGAGCTTCGCACTCGGCGCCGTGTCAAACGCGTAGCGCAGTTTACATGTGGCGTTCGGTGCGCGCCGAGTATAAAACTCAATATTGCTGTAGCGGCAAACTAAGAAGTCTCTCGCAAAAACTGTTCATATCCTTGAAGCTTGTAAGATTTAGGTTATCGAGCAGGTGTGAAAGCCTGAGAGTAAAGTAGTGTCTAGCTGGAAATACTCAAATGTGCAACACAATTTTATTTTTCTTGCTACAGCTCTCAAAGAGATACTGACGTTTCGTAGCAGAAGAAATGAGTCGAAACGTTAGCCGTATAAGTCTACATAGGGATATTGCTTTATTAGCAGTCATGGAAAGAAGTTTATCCTGATGTTCGACATTATATATTCTATTCATATGGTGCATTCCTCGGGAAGACTTTTGCGTCAAATGTTGACAAGAACACCTCAAGACTTGTGAAATATTACGAACGATTTTGGTTCTAGCGGTCGTTAACTCTGTTCCGCTTTCACCAGTCTATGGATCACCTAATGTGGTTCTAAGAATACTCTCCGACAGTCAGTAATGCTGTAAAAGTTGCGAATAATAAGCTTGTAGAATTGGTGATTCTCCAAGTGGAACCTTTTTTGTTCATATAAAGCACTCCAATTACAATCGTATCTTAATGCCAAAAATGCATGTGACAAAATATTTTTTCTCTTCTCTTTTTCAAGATCAAATACTAATAAAAGTTTTTTGGTCGTAAACGTCCGATTGACGTTAATCGTTCAAAGAAATCTACGTTTAGCACTAGCTCATCCTCCTTTGAATATCCCAGGATCAGTTTCGCTTTTATGAGTGGTCTCACGACATAATCTTGCCACTGTGCTTTACTTTTATGTGAACACTTTTTTGGACGCGTGCCGCAGTATATGCTCACAATTAGTCAGTTTTTAGCTACTTTTCATCATCTTATGCTTTCTTTCACAGATTGTGCAACATTAATTCGACAGATGTCGTTGCACAGAAAGTAGTTGGAAGTTGGCCCTAATAAAAATTAGGGTGCCCAAAGTTCATAAAACACACGCAACTTATGGACATTGTGGTGTATAACCAGCATGTAATTTATGACAAATAACATTCTGGTGCCGCTGTGAGCGATTAATTAGTGGTGTCATGCAATACACGTATAGTGGTTGCTGGTTCAACCCTAAACCGCGAGTTTACCAAGCTTTCAAACGCTCAGAACTGTAATAAAACCATATCCGCTTTTCATAAATTCTAATATTTTTACTTCTTTTTAGCAGTTTCATGATGTTACATATATACCTAAGAGAACTGAGTGGTGAGCAAAAACACGGCCTCAGGCGGGAGTCGAACTCGCGTTTCATCCATAGCGGGGCGCGTGCTACTACCACTACACTACTGATGCACATTTGCACAACCGCTCATTCTTCTTCATCTCTATGTTTGCTATCAGCCACCAACCTTCAACAGATTTAATCGGGTATGCGATTTCGCTTTAGAAACCCAATTGAGCTGGCAACCAGTGTTAGATGTAATACTCCGAGATTCTAGTATTTTTACTGCCTTTTTCGCAGTTTATGATGTTACATTTATATTTAAAAAATTGAGTAGTGAGCAAAAACGCGTGTTAAAAGTTGGTTGCTGTAGCTAACATAGAGATGTTGAAGAATAAGCGGTCTGGTAAATGTGCCTCTGTGGTGTAGTGGTAGTGGCACGTGTCCCCGGTTTGGGTAAATTTCGGGTTCGAATCCCGCCTGAGGCTTGGTTTGCTTGCTAGTCAGTTCTTTTAGGTATATAATATCTGTTTTCAAGTTTGATTTCTTAAACTCTACATAGCTTGTCGTCACGTATACTTCGCGGATCCCAGCACAACTTGCATTCTAGTCGTTTCTTCACCTTCATTATCTCAAAGGTCTTCAAACATTTCGCGAGGTGTTTCTACTGCTGCTTGAGTATTTCGTATTCTTCATGAATGTCGCTGAATGATAGTGGAGTTGAATTTTCTCTCAATCTTAGAGAGAACCGAACTAAAGAGTACCCATGTGACTGCAAGAGAATGTTGGAGAGAAAGGCGATATAGCGTAATCCATACTAATGACCTGCCTCAGTAACTACTTAACAATCTCCACACTTCTTCCTCAAATTCAATTAAACAAATCGCATTACTTTGGTAGGCTTGCCTGGACTGTTATGAAGCTTTATTCTGTTAAACTTTCGACGGTTTCGTCTCCTTCACAGCCAGGTTGGTTTGAAGTGGCTGTGCACATATTCGCCACGTAGGGTTTCCGTTGTTTTGTCGAGTCGAGTTCGATAAAGTGCAGCACCGCTTAAGTAAAAACTCTTCACTCGAAGAGGTCCTTTTGAACACATCGTTGGTGACCTATTGCCTCCCTATATTTTGAACTTCATCAAACATTGAGTTAAACCAATGGATATTCGACTTGTACAAAAGTTACACTAAATTAGCGGCTTATCACGTCACTGTGTCCAAGTTTTTTATAGCTTGACAATACCACAGAGATGGGAGGTTTTGTTAGCATGACATGAGAGACTAAACAAATGGCCGAAAGAAAATGGCTTTTAGAAACATGGCCAACACTATGCTTACGTTGATTCCCATACATAAGTTAACTAATTAGAATAAAGACGGTGAGGATCGACCATTGTAGACAAGTAAGAAATCTCGACAAGCAGGTATCGTCTTCAGTCATTTAGATTTTCTCATTTTAGCTAATGTCACAACATAACACAAATGTACAAGAATAATGAGACAAGAACAAAACTTGGAACTGAGTAAAACCTCGCATGGAATGAACTCAAATCAAACTTTCGACTATCCTTTCCGGTAAAGTGCGCCCTCCCCGCTCTGCCGTTCTCTCAGCTACGCTTTAATCGTAAGGGATAGCTATCATCAATCACCGAGGTTATGGAAAGTTGTTTCAATTAGACTACGTATACATCTCAGGTTCCAAACTTTTTCCACTTCTTAGTATTCTTTATTCATATCCATGTCGTACTTGTCGGTAATAATGACTTAGGAAGCAAGCAAATTAACGTTGTATGTACAAAGTCTCTTATAGAATTGTATTTGTTCTCAAGGTCATGTAGTAGAGCCTCTACGTACAATTTGAAAATCTAAAACAGATCAGCAGTAATAGTGGATATAAGGATAAAGCTCTTGGCGTTGGTTAATCCCTGAGGGATGCGCCATGCGCATTCGCCTTCATTTTTAACTTCGTTTGAGGTGATTCAATGCATATCTTCCTTTACAAAGACTCGCGATGGCTTCTCGCTGAACCGACTCAGTGCTACTCATCCCCCCAGACCAGTCTGAGACCAGTCTGGTACCAATTTACCAAGCCTGAAGGATGGATGTCTTGGCAGGCCATGAGCGCGAGATCGAACCATTGACCTCGTGTGCGACGCAGAGCACCTCTAACCACTGCGTCACATAAGCTTTGTCAGCACTGATAGTGCAGAGGAATTTTCTCAAATGTCAACAAATCATCTCTAAGCATTATATGTTGGCGGAGTACACTGTGAGCTTGTACAGATATCTTTGAGGCATCCGCTGCGTAGCCTCTTTTTCAACAACTGACAATAACTTTCTATCATAAAAAATTATTAAGATTACTTTTGAATTGAAAAGGCACGAATGCTATGATTTGAGCAATTAAAAAGCTCAGGTGTGCTTTCAATCCTCCACAGCTTTTTCGAAGGTCTTCCTACTGCCCACCTTACCAACCGAGGCTCTTGCTTTGTATTTATCTGCTTTCCCTCCACGATAATTGCGGATGCGGTCGTAGACCATCTAGCACTTCGAGTACTGCTCATGTCTTAACATTTCCATAGTTGCATTCCAAATTGTGCTCTGCCTCATACAGAAGAGAGAACAAACAAGAAGTTTGATATTCTGCGAGTTTAAAGCCTGGGAAAATCATAGAAGGTACTGCGAAAAATCCAGATTTTATATTTGTTTCACACAGTATCGGTTATTGAAAAATCATGATATTATCTCAGAGATTTTCCCATAAGAAGCCCCCACGGCTAAGCTAGTTAAGGCGCATCAAATTTTGATTTACTCTTCGAATGTCAAATGATGACTTGACAAATTGACTGAAGCTCAAGCCAATCGCTACGCTGAAGTTTACTGTCAACTGTTGCAGAACCCGTTGAACAATCGATTTTCAAAACGTATCGTGACATCGGATGAGACGTGGGTCCACATGGTCAATCACGATTGAGACAAGCGTCGGGTTCCATAAGGCAAAGTTTCGCCATCAGTTGCACGTGAAAATCGGTTTTAGAAAAGGGTCATGATCCACGTTTAGTAAATTTTTAAAAGGTGTCTTGCGTTGTGAGCTTATTCCGAGTCGTCGCGCCATCAATGTCGAACTCTACTCCGAGTGCCTGGAACGGGTCTACGATCGGTTGAAGGATAAATACGCTACGATCAGTCGAAAGAGCGTGCTGTTTCAGTAAAGCAGTGTGAAACCTAACACTTTAAAGAAGACTTAGGAAAAATTTGATGAATTGGAGGTAGTCGAAGTTCCGCCGCATCCAGCCTACAGTTCCAGTCGCTGCGTCATCCGATTATGGTCGAGTTTCGCTCAATGGAACATTTCCTACGTGGACGCCGATTCGAGACATTTGATCAATTTGAAGAGGCTTGTCAGGAATTTCGTCGCTGTTTCAAATCCCAGGATGACGATTTTAAGCAGGTCCGGAGGCTTGAAAATCGTTGGCAAAGGATTGTCCGATTAATGACGGTCCTTATGTTGAAGAATAATTATTGCGGTATATAATTGCGTTTAAGTATAAACTTTGAATTTCCACTACGTGTTAAGAAAAGTTTCCCTCAACTCAATATAATTAATGATGCTGTATGATATGCAAATACACCACCCCATAGGGTGTTTGAAACCTTGTTTCACCGGAATCGAGAGCGTGCTCTACCACTTAATCTTTGATATAATCTTCGCAGCAGTTAACAACTAATCGTTGACGGGTTCTAATGAACATGTGGGATTGTGGCCTCAGTGGTGTTGTGATAGCAAGCGCGACCGGTACAGGTAAAACACAGATTCAACGGGATCGAGTGTTTGCATATCACCTAACACCAGCAGATATATAATCGTAGAACCATTAAATTGCTAGAGTGCTTAAATGAAAAATTTGCACAGGTTGTACAGATATGCAATTGTTGTCAACTTAGCTAGGTTTGAGGCAATTATGTGCTTGTCAGACCAAATCCATCAACGGTTGATTATTGGCAATTTCGATAGATTTCATAGACGAATTAGTAACATTCGTCCTCGATTTAGGTGAGGCGCGAGTTCAACTCCCGTCTGGCTATACTTTTGCGTATAATACAGCAATGTCGGTTACAAGGATCTGAGATCAGTAATAAAAAAGCTACGGATACAAGGATAAACAATATTCTTGGGGAACATCATCAAGTCTTAGCTACAAAAAACATGTTTCGCTTTCACATTAGAATACGAGTCTACTTTACAAAAAAATTAGACAGATTTGGTGCAAGTTAGATATGTTGATCTGGAGTTGGAAGCCGTCATTATATCATCAACGTGGTCCATATAGTGGTGAAATAGTAGCAGATGTGGTAAGATAAAGGACAAATTATCATTACTATAGTGTAACTCTTCCCGATGTTCGGCCATTTTCGGCTGGCGTGTGTTGTTCAAAGGGTGATTGTGCGTGCTTGTGATAATGCGTGGAGATTTCATAGCACGCAATTTGTGCAGAGTCGGATGGCTGCCAACGCATTAAATGGGTTCATCAGCTTTTTGGGTTAGTTAACGGCTTTGGCTGGATGCGAAAATGCTTCTATCTAGTATAAATATTTATAGTGTTTGTTCCAAACCTCCATCTAATGACAGTTTCGCAGTTGGTATTCGCCAGAATTCTGTCGAGCCTCCACATCGCAACAGTTCTTACGTAAATGATATATGGAAATCTCCAGGTCACTTTTTGATATTATTTGCTAATGGTAGAATTGAGTTTTGAAAGAAGAACTTCTGGCGTTTTTCGACTTTGTGTAAGTCCATTATTGTGTATTAAGTAGACACATTTATATAAATCTCATTTGATATTCGTGACAGCGCGCAGCAATTTGAATGTGCAGCTATGGGCTATTAAAGCAGAGCTGATTTCACTTGATTTTCTTCCAACTGCTTCTTTTGCTTTCCGGCCTTTTATAATCAATCGCTGCCTATTTTAATGCATGTTGTAATAGATGTCAATTCAAAGAGCATCTTGTTGCTATAATTTGCATAAGAAAATCTCTGATAGGGATCAAATAAATTGATAAGATAAACAGCCAGAAACATGTGCTCCTCCTTTCCCATCAAATGCCAATACAATACAAATTTTTGAGGCTTTTAAGGAAGCAAGTAAATACTTAAAGCATATTTATCATTGATTATCATCTCAAAAAAAGTTTTCATGTGCGAATCCCTGTGATAACTAACTAAAAGAACTATAATGAAGAGTTATCTGTCTCTTAACGTTGAGGTCTCGACTCTCGAATCAGTGTGACCGCCGCATTTATTTGACGCCTAATTTCTCGCAGCACTGGACATAACTCGAGCATTTTTCGCTGTACAATGCTACTCGCTTAGACTTTTAGCAATCATTCGATAGACTGAATTTTGATGAACTTAACGTTGTGCCTAGTTTTTTTAAAAGGATTTTTGTTGCCCTGTAAGATTGAAAACAAAAGTGCATCACACACTCAAACCG